TAATAATAATAACAATAATAATAATAATAATAACAACAACAATAATAATAGTAAAAACAATAACAATAATAATAATGACAATAATATAATAATAATGACAATAATAATAATGATAATCAGTAATAATAGTAATAATTATTATTATAGTAATAGTAATTATAATAATGATGTGAATCATCCTGTCATTATGTACCTTAAAATGCTCGCCATTTCTAGTTTCTTCATTTTTTATGATCGTTTACTTAATTCTGTGAAATGTAAATACTATCTAACCCTAATAATAATAACTTCTAAGTTGTTTTTAAGGGATGCGCTTTGCGATGCTGGAAATTAAAATAATAATTTGTAGTTTTTTAAAGAAATTCTGTTTTCGTAAAACTGAAAATACAAACGAGGTAAATTTCACTAATTTTCATTATTAATCTGTGCATAACATTCTAAAGAAGCTTTTGGAAGATCAGATGACCCGTAAAGACATACAAATATAGGATCGCAACAGCAACATAAAAAAGTTTTTCACTAAAAACAAATTTACAAATTCTGAAGTTACAAATTGTGAAGTAATCACAGGGAACCCTACGTTTAATAATCAAAAATATGGAATGCTCCTTGCAGCTTAATTCGTATACAATTTGTTCTCTCAAATTACATACAAGTCAAGTCGTAAGAAACACCAAGAAATTACATACCTGTAATAATCATAAGTTGACTTCACTAATGAATGCCTTCTACATGGCCCGATGAAATAAAATTTCCAGTACACTGGAATATAAGACACTTCTACTTTATTTTTCTTGAAAATAAAAAGATTCAGCACTTCAAATTATATTATACTTCATAAGACGATTACGGCACCACTGATAAAGATCATAATGAATTAATGATAAATTTATGTTGTATATAGCTTATTTCAGGCCCACATAAGTCTTCGAGAGATGGGAACAGTGTGGCCAGATTTCGCACAGATTATACTGGAAAGAAGAATCGGCAAGTATTTCTGATAACATAGTAGATGACATATAATAAAATAAACAAAAATGTACACAAAATGAAAAGCATCAAAACAAAGGTCGAGCTAAGAATGAATTTTCAAAATCAAACAGTCCATAAGCAAACAGTTTTTTCCTTTCCTGCACTAAGTAACATATTTCCTTTGGGATGCCACGAAACTGAATGCACGCCTCGCCTGAAAAAAGAAAATTATAATCTTTGATCAAATTGCTGTTTTACATACATTAAAAGTGAATCACAAAACAAGATATCACTATCACACTACACAAAGCAAGGTATCATTACCATAGTACAATAAAAACCAATGATGGAAGTGATTTATATTTGATGTATATTTGACGAATTAGCAAAAATAAAAAACATATTTTTCGTAATGTTTTATTGGGACAAAATTTGCACTTTTACTTTAAACACGCAAAATGCAAATAAATGCATGAGAACTGTAACAGATACAGAAACCATTAATTTTCCTCCCTTCTTCACAAAAATATCTTCTTCCACTGTAAAGTTAATAATGGATTTTGCTGAGTAGAAGAATGAGAGGAGAAAATGCTAAAGTTCCACGGTTAGAACCAAAAAAATTTTTTAAATTTCACAGATTCTCATCTTTTGTTCCTCGTTTCTCTGTCTTTCACAGTTATCACATAAAACGAACACTAAGCTAACACAAAATGAAAATTCGGTATGTTTTATTTCTAAAAGACAGCCCACGGTTTTTTTACATTAACTACAATTTTTATGCCTAACAAAACTTTGGAAAAATTACTTACTCATGTCCACCCTTTTGAAGTGTTTTTTCAAGCTTGGTTGTTTTCAGATTCCAAATAAAAATGGACCCATCACTAGACCCAGATGCGATGTATTCCATTCCAGGACTTATCGCACAACGAATGTGATCACTTCCTGTCCGATACTGATCAGCACTGCAGTAAATTTTAATGACTGGTAGTATTGAAGGTTATAAAGGTTTCCTTGAATTTACGATCTATCAATTCTATCTAAAGAAAAAACTATTATGAAGATGAAACAAATTAAAGAAAAAATCAAGAAAGGAATCTTAAAGGTAAAAAGTGAAAATGAAACAGGTAGCGTAGTCATCAAACTATTCCATCTTTTCTTCCCAAGACATTTTCTAAAAAATAGACTAAAGAAGGAAGTAAGTTGATCTAGACTCATGCAAACAACTGGAGTCATTCCTCGGTGATAAAAAGAATGTTAAGAAAAATACCTGTATATATGAACAATTTGGTACGAACGTAGGTCGATCAATGACATTGTTTCGTCTCGTGCTGATGCAAGTACAACGGAAGAGTCTTAATGTAATTTGTCAGAGAAATAAATGACGATCTAGAGACTATAACAGTGTTTACTGCTTGTTTCAAAAATTATAAAGGTAACACAAAATACTTTGAAACTTAGATATTACAAATTTAATATAACTTATTGCTCAAAAAACAATAAAGGCCATGTTTCAAAATAATTAACAGAGCAATTAATTCACTTAACTTAGACTGAAAAAAATTAACATAGCTGTACAAGACGGTATCTTAAAAAAATTAAGTTGAGGATTAGAACACAAATCAAGATAACTGCCAAATGCGAAGCGCGTAATAACAACTTTTTAGATACCGATTTCCCACAACTAGTTTAGTATAAAGCAGAATATTAATTTACCAAACGACAGAACCAGTGATGTAACTTTGTTGGCGAGTTCGACTACACGAACCGGTTCATTGAGTCTTATATCCCAGAACCGTACTTTACGATCGTAATGACCACTAGCTACCATTCCATTCTTGTCACTCGAAGTTATGTCATATACCACTGAATTAGTAAAATATGTTCTCAAACCTGAAAAGTGTGCCACCAAGTTTAATTTCTAAATACCTCGCGGTTCTACCTTGTTTGATTAATATTTGGGAAATCGCGAGACGGCATACTCTCAGTCCTTACTCATCGAAATTTTTAATAAAAGCCAGTGTCAGTTTTTCTTTTTCATTTTGTCTATTCTCTCATTCCTCTCCCACCTTCTCTATCTGATGCATTGTTAAAGAAATTACCGTAATATGCAAATATAGAAAACATAGGTATAAACGTACACTTGGCAGTTTTTAAGTCCCATAGTTTAAATGTTCTGTCATAAGATCCAGATACAACTTGTAAACCATCGTGAAAAAATTTAGCAGATGATACCTTATTTCCATGTCCTGTTAACGAGTGCTGAAAATGAAACGATAACTAGTACAACTGATAAATAATCACTGAAAATGATAAACACACTTGAAAGATTATCTATGACCAAAAAACAAACCAACCGGCCAACAAATACCTAATAAAAAATTGAGATAAACATAAAGAGAACCGACATTATTACATAAAACCACTCAAAGGGAATATTGTACCAAACCTTGACTACATGGTTATCTGTTCCCCAAATACGAACGGCATTATCATTGCCAGCTCCGAGAACTTGATTGGTTTCGGCTGCGAAATCTATCCGTAGTACTGATTCATTTGAACCAGCCAAAGAAACACTGTATAAAAAGCTAGTATTGAATGAGATAAACATGCATTTTTTTTGTCCCTAGACAATGGAAATATATCTTTCAAGAATCTATGAAGAAATTTATTAGTACTAGTAGAGATTAAAAACTTCCGAGAACTGGAAGCAGCTGCAAAGGAACCAACAATTAAGATTCAGAGCTTATGCATATAGGAAAAGCATAATTATTATTTCCTTACATTTTTTCAAATTTGTCATTTACTACTTTGTATAAACGAAGTTTATGATCGCCACCGCCTCCCGCAAACATGTTACCACTGGGATGCCAAAGAATATCGTTAATATCATCGCCATAATCCTTGGGAAAATAGTTATTTACTTACACAACAGGAAAGTCTCATTTCTTTTCACAACAGAAAATTGGAATCATAAATCATTCACTAAATTTTCAGATCAAATCGAACAGATATCCCAACTTTAAAAAAATTGTGGAATTTACAAGACAATAAAATTTATAGCTCGATGAATTTTAATTTGTAGACAGAATTTATAAAATTATAACAAAGCTAACAGAATTTACTGAATTAACTCACCAGTTTTGTTTTACAGTGACCAGGAATAATGTCGCCTTTATAATCAACGACTTGATTTGTATTGTTGATAATTTCAAATCTGTAAATTACCATCGAATTCCGAAATTTAGGGGCAAATGCCCAATGGAAAATATTTGAATAACATTGCAAATATTCGCAAAACAACTTGGATTTTCAGTGTATCCAAATCTTCTATTGCACTCAAGTTTAGCATTTAGAATAATTTCTATACCATTTTCTATTTCATCACGGTGCTTTTTACTCTTTGAGCAAAAATTTATTACTCAGATAAATTTTCATGCGCAAAGGATAAACACGAAAAGGAAACAACACATTAACTGCGTAGTGAAACATATAGAAAAAGTATAGGATAATACTTCATACAATGGATATTTCTATTCGTTAACTAACCCATACGTTTTGTCCTCGTTGTTGTGTGACATGGTTAGTGCAGACTCAATATCGGCTGCTAAACGGCGACGATGTTCCCTAAACAACAAAATCTAAAATACTTCCCTTTTGTAATGATTAGATTTGAAAAAACTGGTCAAGTTGTCCAAGATATTTACTATGATAAATAAACATACTTTTTCTTTTTTACGTGTGATTCTCAATACTATAAAGTTTTTTTATAGTACTAAAAGTTAATTCCCAATAAACACGATCGGCGCACTTCGTTTGTGAGTCAAAAGAGGCAGTAACGTTTGAGATTAAGAAACATGGGAGGGAATATGTCTTACAATACACATATGGAACATAGCCAGTTTGAGTGGTGAAGATATTAAAAGACTCATTCAGATATCCAATAAATCCAAGCCCATGTTTAATGTTCCATCTACTTTTACTAACTTCAAGGTCAGGGCACTAAGTGTTCACGCGAATTGGATCGTAATAAGTTGGATCTGGCAAATCGAGCAATAAAGTTAGCTGCTTATTCATAAATAACAAAAAAAAGTGGAGTTTTTTAGTCATTACAGAGCATAATTTCTTCCAACTCAGCATAACTTCATTTTGAAAACAAGCACCTCAGCATTTAAACTTTAGTGGACTGATTTTTTTATAACATAAAGAAAGCGTAACACGACCTCTCTCAATTCAAAATCAAAAAAAAAAATCATGCAGAAAAAGATAGAAAAAAAAGCTCAAATGAATTGTTTACTCTTGCTCTCGTTCATTTTGTTCATTAAACCACTGGACTTCTTTCTCTTTAAGATCCTTTATTCGATCAACCAGATTATTTCGTTCCTCCTGTGCTTCTCGATATTTGTTTTCGATGCTATTATAACTTGCCTTAAGATATTGTAATGAATTACACCCCTATTTCAAGATTTATCAGAAGTTAAGCAAATTCAACGTAATGGTGCATGTCAACGTATGTCAGAGAATCGTTAATCTAGCAAAATGAAAGGACAATGACCATGACTGCATTGTTAAGTAACTTAAAATTATTAAAAATCTCTAGCGCTCCAAGTTCTAACATCACAGAAGCTTGGTTCAATTATTATATACCAATAAAATTATGAAAACACGTGCCTGCAAAGCAAAATGTTCATCCTTTAAAAAAATGTTTGCTTCTTTTAATGCAGTTAATTCCTCTTCTTTTTCTTTCAATTTTTTCTTCAACTTTTGATTCTCCTTTTGACACTCTTCTTTTCTAAATATTTCTTGCATTGAAAAGCATCGTAACAGTGCATAATTCAAAATTTTTTTAAATAAAACGTTAGTAAAACTAAATGCTGAATTGTCCAACTTTGGAGAACAAGCCTTTCACCTGCATCATTCGGCTTCGAAGCAACGAAGCATCCTATGAAATAATACAACAAGCTCGAGGACAACGATCAACTCTGCTGAGGATAATTTCAAGTAATATTTGACTACACTTCATTCATTCACCTATTACATTCAAAATTCCAACAGTAAAGCTAAGACTTACACAATACTAACTGCGCTTAGTTCTCGAACAACAACTTCCAAACGATTGTTTGTTTCAATCAACTGTTGATCATTTTGCTCCTTTTTACGGTAAAGATCTGCAAGCTCAGCTTCCAGTTCCAACGTGCGATCCGAGCTTCCTGCTCTCAAACATTGCTGTTTAAAATACTTTTCCCACTGATTAATAGCTTGGCAAGAAGTTTCCACACAAAAAATAAAACGTTGCACTTTGCTCATCACAACTGAATTAGTTCATCAGACGCAGTCTTTTTTACCTGGCCAAACGCAAATTGTTCATGCGATGTGAATCACTGATTCATCCAAGTTATCAAGCTAACGAAGAAATGAACAAGGAATCGAACTGTTTGCATATAATGAAATAATTAAACCTACAATGAAGCACTCGAGCCGTGACGTATACGACCGTTACGTGCAACATTCGCTACATACTCTGTTAGTTCACAATCTACAAAAAGATAAAATTTGATACCACTGTTAGCTGCAAAGGATCCACAACGATAATCACCTCCAAAACAATAAAGTTAATTAACATTAAAAGATGTGATATGATTGGAGAGTCGAGCAATATTATAGATGACTTACACAGATGGGAAGTCACAGAAAAAAGGAGTGAAGTGGAAAGCTTACAAGAAGTGAACAAGGAATCGAACTGTCTGCATATAATATTTCGACGTTCAAGTTGATGTATGATCGTTGCACGGAAGCTGTTATCTGTCGTATCCGTTTCATCCATCTATCGCCAACAGCAATTACTCTGAACAATATTCACTCATGGCAACGCACACATCGATTGGGTATGTGTGGGTGTCACCTGGAAGTGGTACACATTGTGCAAACTAACCTAACCCATTTCAATGAAGACGATAATCAACATTGGAAAAGTAATGTTCAATCCAGTTAATCTCAACACTGACCACATATCACCCAAACAAAACGAAATGTCATAATAACAGGAAAGATAAAAGGCGGTCGGAGGTATGGACTGATTTCATACCGCGCTATCCATTGGCGTGATAATTGCATTCGCAAATTTAATTTTCAAATTCAAGGAGCTAAACCGATCTTCAAGGTCGTCCTACAGCGGGTAGTGGTATTTTGCTGGTAAATAGTTGGGATAGTGAGGACTGGGAAGACTAGTAAAATCGTGTATATTGGACAACTGAAAAACTGATTTGAGGGAGGGGAGGGGGAAGGGGAAGTACGTTTTCAGACGGAGCAATTCTTTGAACAGTGTATCAGTTTTGATTTAATGTCCTTTCTGCATAATCTGTTAAATAGGTAGTGCTCTTTCAGTGCATACTTGTTCGCATTAATTTTCGTATTCATATTTATCATCTCATGTTTACTTATGTTTTTCTCCCTGCATTTTTATACACTTCTATTTGCAGTTATGGAGGAAAGTTGTTCAAGATGTGATCGAGGTACGGATAGCCCTGAAAATGTTCATGAATATGAGGAGCATCGTGTGATCGGGAAGGGTGCATATGGTGTCGTATATCTAGTTACTCATATACCCAGTAACATACAGGCGAGTATACATTTTTGCTTAGCACTTTTTAATATGATTTTAAACTAATTCATATACTGAAAAAACCACGTCAAGGAGATGTTATTCTAATTGCCTCTTTGTCTTGATCCGCTCTTTTTCGTTTCACTATATATGCGTGCCATTATTCGGAAAATCCAGAATGGTTGCACTATATTCTTTGTGATGCATTTCCATGGGAACCATTCTTCAGTTTGGATTCTTCCGTAGCAAAATATATGTGCCTTGTTGTTGTAGCAACTGTTTTCACTTTGGTTTTCCAATTAAGCCGTGTAGATTATGTAGGTTTTACTTGTTCATAATATTATCTGACGAAAGTTTTTTATTAAGACTTCAATATGCACTATTTACACAGTTCATTACAGTATGCTTTAAAAAAAATGATTGTACGTATAACAGAAGATGGTATACCACAAAGTATTATACGCGAGATCTCGGCATTGCGAGCGCTGCATAATTTGGATCATCCAAATATTGTGAAGTTTGTTCCTTCGTGGTTTTTGTTTTCTATCTTTGAAATGAACAAGTATCTGCGACTTAATGGGCGGAAATCCCTTTCATTTTCCTCTTATCACTACCGAAATTTATTTAATTCCAAAATTTTATCATGTTTTATGCTTCACTTGTGAACTAAAAAGCCGCAAATGAAAACGGCGTATCATGTCAAAGAAAATTCCTGAATAAAGTTTGTATATTATTGTAGATTGCACGATGTATTTCATGGCCAAATCGATAAGGGTGAAATGTGTTTGAGTGTTGTTTATGAGAAGTGTGACTGGGACTTGTATGAGTTTTTGCGCACTATCCCACGTGACATGGGTGATCATCAATGTCGTCATATTGCGAAGCAGGTAAGTTTCTTTTTCCATTTAGAATACAAGGAGCAAGAGTTTTCCTACACTTATGATCGTTTTAATAAATTTACCATATGTCTGAAGACACTTTTTATGCATGTATATGTATGTATATATATATATATATATATATATATATATATATATATATATATATATATATATATATATATATATATATATATATATATATATATATATATATATATATATATATATATATATATATATATATATATATATATATATATAT